ACCGCAGCTTTGACGGTGCCCTCCACCCCCTGCTGCCCCTGACCTCCAGTCTCAATTCCTCCACTTCTCTCTCGATCTCACAAGCCTCTACAGGAATGGCAGGTGCCTTGAACTGACTCCTTTATTCTAGTCAGAGCCCTACAGTTGCAACAAATATGGGTTACACCCCCTGGCACCTCCCCACAAAGACTGAGCTGGGGACCCCACAGATGTGTGGGCCCTTTTCAACTGTTTATAGTGGCTTACGCTTTCTTCTCTACCACTTTTATATCGGCTGAAGTCTCATACAGAATAAGTAGTCATTTTACAACTAGAAACATAAAATACTTTCAATAAACGTTGTATCTGTCTGATGAGCTGGCACCTCTGGCCATCTTGGTAAACAAGGGCCCAGACCACACCTGACCCAGCTGGCCTTCAAGAAACGTGACTCTGCCTTCCCACCATGCTCCCAGGTGGTGCTTGTCCAAGAAGCAGGAGTCCAGGCACTTAGCCCCGGGTCTGCCCCTGCAAGTGGTGGTGATTATTTACTCTAAAATACAGACCTAACCCCCCACTTAAAAAACTAATCACTTCTTTCCAAGAATGGCCATTCTTAGGGTGCATCCCAGGTAATCCAACCTGAACATTTAAAAAAAAACCAAAAGAATATTCTCTAAAGAAAAACCCATGATATTTTTCACGGGCTGAGAAATGATTTCTTTAAAGCTCATGGCTTGCTTTGGTCTATTTTGACCAAAGGTGGGTCAACACCCATAATTCGCACGTGGGCCTCAGTGATCTTGTTTAACTTCACTTACACAGAGCAAGTCCCTCTGCTATGTGTGCAGTAGATGCTGGGGGTCCCGCATCCAGACCCTCTTTCCCGAACCAGTGCTTCACTCCCCAGTTATCATGCGTGCTCACAGCAATAGCTCCTGGCTGTTCCTTTCTCCAAGGAATGGACACGTGGCAACTGACCTCCCCGCTCCAGGGAGAGACAGCCTGTAGCCACTATGTGCCTGACATGGGTGTAGAAATGTCCATCACTTGTCGGTAGACAGGGCAAGCCTGTAGTGCCCTCACACTCCAGACCCAACAGGGGCAGGCTGAGGCCAATCCCTGCTCACCCTCCTCCCTTACAGGCCTCTCCTGAGGGTCCTGCTCCAAAAGAACTGTGGGCAAAATTGTAACACTTCCAGAGTATCTCGCCTGGCTTTAGTACATTTGCATATCCTCAGGGGTGGAGAGAAGCTCATCTCCATGTCAATGGGTAATTGCCTGGGCAACCGAGGGCGTGTCTGAACCTGAGAGGTTAAGGGGAGGGGCTGGCTTGCTCGCTGACTTGCCTCCTTCTGGAGCAGAGGAGAGAGAAGGCCCTGGGCTGCAGTTTGTAAGCAATAAACGGATTTTCAGCCCCTCCTATAAGAGTCACTGGAAGTATCACTGCTGAAAAACAGGAGGTAGAGCAGCTGGGAGTCTGGGGGGTACAGGCCACCCCATTCTTGCTCAGTCTGTGGACAGAAGGCACCACTGAACACACATGCTTAAGCTCCTCTGCAACCTGCTACACCTCAGGTTGGAGTGTGCGGCTTGTGCCAGGCCTGAGTTTCCCCTGATCTCACCTTCCTGTAGAGCAAGCAGGCTTCTAGAAGCTGAAATGCGGGACACCCCAGCCTTGGGAGAATGCTGAGTGAGGAAGGCACAGGACGAAAAGGGGTCAGAGAAAGGGACTCTGTGGCAGATAGAAGGTCATGAACATCAGGCCCAGCCCATCTGGTCCCCAACTCCACCAGCTGTGGTCATCTGACCTCCCCGAGCCCTTTCTCCTCACCTGTCAAATGGGTGTATCAACAACACCAGCTCTGTGGGGTTGTTTGAGATAACATGGTAGGTGCTGAGGGCCTGGCATGAAGGAAAGGGACCGTTTGTGGCTTGCTGCCACCTAAGGTGACAATGTAACTCTCTGCCCCTTCCTGCATCTCTCTGCATGAGGATGGTCCCAGAGAAACACAGGAGGCCTGCAACAGGCGGGTGGGGGGGAAACTGCCTCAGAGTTGAGGGTCCCAAGATGGACCCCCAAACACAGAGAGGTGGGAGTTGAAAAATACCCCAGTTTCTGTACCCCTGCAACTATCCTGGGGTGCATTCCATGTGGCTCTTCAGAGGGTCCTCATTCACTTGCTTTTCTTGGCTGTCTTCCCCTCTCTTGCCCCCTCCCCACCCCAGTCTCTGTGCCCCCTGGAATCTCCCCACAAATAAACCGCTTACACTAGAGTGCCTGTGTCAGGGTCCCCTCCTGGGGGAACCCAAAACAAGACATTCCACATCTGCAATGCCCATCCTCCCTCTCTCCAGCTATGGAAATCTTAGTCATCCTTCAAGGCCCAGCCAAAAGGACACCTCCTCTGAGAAGCCTCGCTGGTGTCCTGTCAGAAACAATGCACTTTCCAGGCCACCCACATTTTCTTCTGTCTGGCACATGCGGTTTTTCCTGTGTCACAGTCAGATGTTTGAGTTATTTCTCCCTATGTTGGCTGAGCTTTCCATGAGCACGCAGGTGAGTCTGAGGGCCTGTCACATAGCAGGTCTTTGGAAACCTCTGCCAATTACTTGAACTTTCACTACTACTAATAGCATTTATAAATGCTTACAATATGTAAAGCACTTTGTATGTAATTACTGTCCTGAAAACTCATACCCATCACTTTAGGTGAGAGGTATTAAAACCATGCCCATTTAAATATGGACAAACTAATGCAAAAAGACAAGTAATTTAGGCAAGGCCGCACAATCAGCTAGCTCAGATCTGGAGTTCTTAACTCCTGTGTGACTGACTCAACTTGCAAACTCTTCTGGGAGAAGCAGTCACTCCCTTATATTTCCATTAATGGAGAATTAATAGTTACACATGAGGCAGCTCCTCCAGCTCAATGTTCATTCCAACTGAAGTTACCAACTGCCAGCAATGCTCTGAGCCCCCTTCACTTTGTCTTAAAGGCCAAGGTGGGCGAGTGGCTACAGAGCCCACCAGGCAAAGAGTTTCAGAAGAAACAGGCCATGTCCTCAAGGATATCCTCAGACAGAGATGAAACGCTGAGAAACTCTCCAGGACAACCAATGACAAATGACTGAGTGAGTGGTCCCATCTTCTCCAGCCCCTTGGGTCAGTTGTCTATGAGTCCAGCTTTGCAACCACCTTGTGGGTCCGCTGATAGCTTGGAGACTCTGCTCCACCATCCTCCAGGACCCCCACCATCCTCCGGAACCTCCACCATCCTGCAGGACCTCCCACCACCCCCACAGGACGCCCCACCACCAAGTCACTCCCTAAGCAACCTCCCCACTCCAACCTAAAGTGCCAGCCTGGTCACAGAGAGGCCAAATTTTACTGCTGCACTGATGCTAGGGACTAAAACAGAGAAGTCTTGTAGCCAGACCCAAAAGAGTCCACACTATGGGATTCCATTTCCTTCACATTCAAAATGCGGCGATGGTAATTAATGCTGTCAGAAGCCTTACTAGTGGTGCCTTCTGGAGGAAAGAGGATAGAGACTGGAAGGAGGCCTGAGGTAGGGACAGTGACTTCTAGGGGCTGGAAATACTCTTTTTCTTGGTCTGGGTGCTAGTTATATGGGTGTGTTCGTTTTGTACAAATTCCTAACTTCATTAACCTATATCTGTACAACTGTGTACTTTCTTGGATGTCCATTATGTTTAAATGAAAACTTCACTTTAGAAGGATTTTTAAAAGAGAAAAAGAAGAAATCTTTTAGTATGTGCTCTCTAAGGTGGAGGACGCTCTCCCTGAATGAGGGAAATAGTCATGCCAGCACTCCAAGAACACAAGTGTGATAAGAGCTATGAAAAAAATCTGAATATGAAGGATCTGAGAGGGGCCCTGTGTGGGGACTGAGGATCTGGGAGTCCCATCTATTGTCCCACCTCCACCAAAGTGTCCAAGGAAACCCTAAACCCTGAGAGGACTTGAGGGATCAGGGAAACTACATAGGGAGCATGAGTGGTGACCAGGATGGGGTTGAATGGGTTGGGATTGGCAGTGGAATGGGCTAGCTGGGCTAGGATGGGGATCTTAAGATGGGATCAGATTATGAGGGGCTTTATATGCAGCCCATCAAGATGAAGTTCGGACTTCATCCTGCCCAGAGATGGGGATTTTTTAGCAGGGAAGAGGCAATCTTAGACTTCTCCTCAAGGGATCACCATGGCAAAGGTGTGGCCTGCTGAACACAAGCAGAAGTGGGCAGCAGATGTTTCTAAATTAAAACTAATGAGGCCATAACGAATCAGAAGGGCTGGGAGAGGTGCCAACAGGCAGCCCCAAGATTCTCTGTGAAATGAAATGATGAGGACTACATCCACACTTCCTAAGTAGGGAAACAGAGGCAGGTCCAAGGAAGGAAGCCACCTGCCTGCCAGGCTCAAGCAGGAAGCTTAGGCAACTCGAAGTGAGCTAAGCATTTTCTTCTCGAGCTCTCAGGAAAAATATGACACTATTCTGAGTAGGTTTACCTCCCAAGAAAGGAGCATAAAATACCACTGGGGGTACCTCAAGAAACATTCTAGAGGTCAACCAGACCAGGGGCTAAACTATGGCACCCCTAGCGCCATGTCAGGCAGCCCAATTCTCAGGATGCTTCCAGTCAGTGAATTGTCTTGAGACTCACAGAGCTGGTATATTTATCCCCTCACACAGAGGAGAAAACACACTGATGGAGCGAGGGCTTGCCTGGCCCAAGGTGGCACAGCTAGTAGATGGCACAGCCAGGGGGGGTGAACCCAGATGGGCTGGCCCCAAGTGCCCCATCCTATTGTATTTCCAGAAATACAACACTGCATGCACCAACGCCAGCAGATTAATTAAGAATACCATCCAAAAAACTAACAAACAAGAAAACCCAATACTGCTCCCACCTCGTGACTTTGATCTTTGGTGGGAAAGAACAGGTACTCTTGACCAGAAAAACAAAACCGAAAGCAAAGACTGCACCCCTTCTCACCTGTATGTGTGCGGACGTGCCTCTTGAGGTCAAAGGTGTCATTGAAGCCCTTACCACAGAAGGTGCATAGGTGCCTCTTCACCTGGTTGTGACACTTGAGGTGCCGGTTGAGCATGCGCTGCAGGCGGAAGCCCTTGCCGCACAGATCACAGCTGTGAACCGCCGCATCGCTGCATGTGCCTGTGGTGAACTGGGACAGAGAGAGAGGCTGTGAGGGCCCTGGTGCAGGTGGTACACCCGGGGGCTGACCACTAGAATTCCAGGCAGGTTTTGGCTTTGGGGAAGGTGAAATAATTGGCAACTCCTCCCAGCATTCATTCCTCCTTCTTCCTTAGAACAGACCTCTGGTTTCCAGCTGGGCACATCCCCTCAGCTAAATGCCTACATTTCCCAGCCTTACTGATTAGCTTGGCTGATGAAATATAGTCTAAGTGGGAAGGATGGCGTCCTCTTCCTCCTTTACCCCTTCCTGCTGGCTAGAGCTTCGACAGCCCCCTGGGAGAAGGGGGAAGCCAGTGCTGAGGGAGAAGAGCAGAACGAAAGGAGTCCAGGTCCTGACATCATGGAGCCTGTGAAGAGTCTCCAAAGAAGGCCACAATCAAATCCTTCCTCCCTGTGCCATGAAGCTGCTCCACCAATCAAGAAATGGAGACCAGGTTTAAGTTCCAGGTCTTAAGAGACCTGGTAGCTTCCATGTCCTCCCTCTTGGAAGCCACATAAGTGCAAGCCCACCACGTTGTGAGGAAGCCCAAGCAGCCAGGTGGAGCGTGAGAGGCCCCATGCAGGAGCACTAAGGAGCCAGACATGAATAAGCCTCACTGGACCCCCTTGCCCAGCCCATGGCTGAGTGACTCCAGCCAGTGCTACCCAGGGTAAAAGTGCCTAACCCAGCCATGTCTTGCTTGGTTCCTGACCCACAAAACTGTCAACAAATATAACAATGACTTGGGGAGTGACTTGGTCAGGATCCCACAGCTTTTCCACCAGCAGAACCACAACAAACCCCCAGCTCTGGGCTCGCTGTCCTCTGTTCTCTCAGCTGTGTTTGCAGCCTCTGAGGAAGAAACCTGAATCTATAATTAGGTGGTGAAAAACATGAGATCTGACATATTCATTAAAGTTTCCTAGTTAATGAATCAGATCTTTGAAAGACTGATCCAATTGCTCAGCCAAAATTCTATCCATAAAGGGCCTAAAATACTTATTTTCATACAAACGTTATCAGCGAGAAGAGCTGGTCCTTTCCCAGCTCAGCATCCTCCAAGCCTCCAGTGCCCTCCCTTCATTCACCCTGGGCACCACCCTCCAAGACCCTGCTCAACTGTGCCCTCCCTGGCGCAGTTCTCCAAATTGCCGCTGTCCAAATTGTTCTCCGTACAAGACCAGTGCCTCACAAAAACTCGTGTGCACATGACTCCCCAGGGTCTGGTTAAAATGCAGGTTCTGGTTCGGGGGCGTGGTCAGGTCTAGCTCCTGCATTTCTAACCAGCATCCAGATGCCACTGTGATGGTCCACAGATCATGAGGCTAAGGGCAGTGGCCCTCACTCAGTCCAGTACTTTGTTCCAAATCACTACAGAGGATTCTCTTATGCTCAAATGTTTTCTTAGAGTTCATCTGGTTTCCTCAACTAAATGTTTGCAGAAGTCATCAGTGTCCCTGCCCCTGGGCCCCAAGCCCAGACTCACGCCAGTGCACAGTCAAAAGTATCAACAACCTGGCAGGTAGCAAGATACAAAGAGACTCCAGGGAGGCACAAGACCCCAGAACGAGGTTTTCCCATCATTCTCATCTGCTTCAAGCTTAATTTGTGTCAGCTGGCACCAACTGGTGCCCAGTCTCCAACAGGCCTTGCTTAGAGCTGGTGGGAATACAGTCACCAGGATGGTTTGTCCCCAAGAAGCTCCAGTCTAGTGGAGGAGCAGACCAGTCAAAAGGCCACTGCTATCTGGGAAGCCCAGGTAAAAGGGGCACCTTGGAGGGGCATCTACCCTAGAGGTAGAGCTTGAGAAGTGAGCTCCGCAGCCAGGCAAAGATGAGAAGAAAGAGCAGGGGAACGATGACAGAAAATTCCAGGAGAGGATAGAAGGAACGGGGGGAACTGTGTGTGGTTCTCCATGGTTGGCCTGAGCCCTGAGAGCTATGGTAGCAAAGCAGGGCAGGGCACCCTTGCAGCTCTCCATCAGGAGCCTAAAGGAGTTCAACTCTATTTAGAGAGCAAGTGGTGGGGTCACATTAATACAGGACAACCACAGGGGTTGAGCGTGATGATCCAGTTAAGTGGCTGTCCTAAGCCTCCAACAGCCTTGCACCCCCCAGCCCTGCCCTGCATTCCCCCAAAGCAGGTAGGGCCTGGCACTCGTCCTGAGGGAGACCCATCTCTGCTCAAGGCTTTCCTATTCATCACAAGGACTCATCATGGTCTCCTTCCTGTCCAGCAGTCCCCATTCTGGTTATTGCTTCCCTTAAAGGGTGTGAAAAGGCCCAAGTCTTGACAAATTGAATACTTGGAACTTCTCAAGGCCAAAGCTACACAAGATAGAGGTCATTTGAGAGGTAGTGAGGGGCTAATAAAATAGAACATAGACAACTGACCCTGGTAATTCCTATAAAAAACATGTAGAAAGCTAGAACTATCTTTTGAAAGTGCAGCACAATATGCCTAAGGACTCATCAACTACAGTTAAAATCTGAATTCTTTGTTTATTTTAATCCTTTTAGTAAATTCCTATTTCTAAATGTTCTGCATGTAACATGGATACCTTCTATTACAATCCAGGATGAAAATCTCAAATCAATGGCATTATTTCATTTGAAAAGAATAAAATCTTGAAGGGCAGAGGGAAAGGAGATTGGTGACAATTTAAGGGAGCGCAAAGTCAATGAACATAAATCTTTTTAACACCAGGGAGAAAACTGGAATAGGGGAGGGGATTGAAGACTGAGGGTACCCCATTCCCAAGGGATGCAAAAACAGAAGCCCTCTAAGTATGCTTCAGCAAAGGCAGTCTTTCTATTTCTCCCCCTTCATATACATCCCCATTTCACAGCATGGAAAACTGAGTTATCACACAATGATTCATTTAGGGAATTCTCCTGAGGCACCAATTTCTCCAATTCATGAAGCACTGCTTGCCACCTGTATATATATATATATGACTAATCCAGCCCCCAGACATCAACAAATTCTTTGTGAAGCCAGAAGAGAACCTTGCTGAAAGAAGATGTAAGGCTAATTAAATGCCTTGGCTAATGAAGCCAGCTTCTGCCAGACTAGTTCACTTCTCAGAAAGGAAGAAATATTTGTAGGATAAGTTCTTGAACAAGAAATGTATCCCACAGAGTATAGTTCACACATCATGTGCCTTGAAATTTGGCACATGATAATAGCAAAAGACTGGGAACTACCTTCATATACATCCATCAGTAAGGACTTGTTTAAAAAAAAAGGTTGTAGAACCATATAATTGAAGCAGCTAGAAAAAGGACAAGTGTCAAGGCCAGCCACCTGAGTGAGCCCCCAGAAGACTCCAGCCCCAGTTGTCATTTGCCTGCAACAGCAAGAGAAACCTCAAGCAAGAAGCACCAGCGGAGCCGAGGCATTCCACAGAACTGGAAAACAGAATAATAAATTAGTGGAGGCTACCAAATTTGGGTTATTTGTGAAGCAGCAGTAGGTAATAGTAGTAGATGTATCACATTACATCCAGGACACCAGATCTGCCACATTTTGGAATGTTCTCCCCCAGGATGGGCTGCATGACACAGAAGACACATCTGACTCCTAGGACGACATCCCATGGGCCAGACGACTGACAATCCGTCCCTGGGTCCCTGGGTCCCTGGGCCAGCTTTACAATGTTTACACGGGTTTATACCTAACACTCTACCCGCTAAAAGTTCAAAACAGGGCTAACCAACATTACCTTGTTATTCCATTCTGCAAGTGCTAAATCCAAACTAGTTACACATTATCTGTTAGTTACAAAATGAGAGTGAAAAGGAGAGACAAGAAATCATGAATATCAAATAAAAACCCTAGACCAGGCTAGTTATGTGACGTTATTTAATATCCATCCCTGGGCCACAATTTCCCACAGGTAAAAATGATAAAGTGGTTATTAGATGAATTCTTCAACACCAGGAGAATCGAAGAGCAGTCTCTTTTCCAAATTCCTAAATTCAAACACCCCACTTAGTCTTTGGGATGTAGGCAAGTTACTTGACCTCACTAAGGCTTAATTTCATCACCTGGAAATACGTACTGTAAGGATATCTGCCTCCTGGGGTTGTTAGGGAATTAAATTTAAAAAGCTGCTTGAAAAGGTTTATGCTCAGTAAGTCCTTAACTCTGAAAGTTTGACCAGCTCCAAAACTCTGATCCTTTAAGGTAATTGGTCAAAATCCCTTGTTTAGCTACTGGGCTTTTGAATTTTTCTCTTTCTGATGGGAACAAAAGGGAACCAGCCTGCAGTGCCCCCAACCCCACCCTACCCCGGCCCTCAGTCCTTCACCTGCAAATCTGAAATCCAAAAAGCCCTGAAAAACCAACATTCTCACATATCTGCCTTGACAATAAAACCCAACCAGAGCAGACATGAAGCTATGCAGACTTCATCCTGCTTGGTGTCAACATTCATGTGTTTTGCTATGTAAATTACTAATGTGCTTAATTACAGGGATTGCTCCAGCCCTACTGGGGGTGATACTTACACCATGCTACCTTTGGAAAAAGCTTAATAGTCTCCCCTGAATCCAAAATGAACAATTGCAAAAGGCTTATTAATGAAGTGGGGAAGCTACCACAGAGGGTAAGAGATGACATCAGTCTGGAGATTAATTCAGAGCAAGGAAGACAAAGAGTGAGCAATTCTCCAACTGTAGGGCACAGCGCTTTTTGCTTGCTGCCCTGTTTTTTGCAGGATCTTGGCTTTCATTTTAAAAAACAGACAAAGTTCCCTTCTAGTCCTTCTAAAACATGCACCTCTGCAGCCAAAACAAACTGACCATTGTTATTAGGGCTGCTAAAAACTTCAGGAGCATCCAGGGAGGTAGGGACATTGGCTGGCCCTCTGACCAATTTCAGAGCTGGTTAAGGTCACTTACCTGTCAAACTTCTAAAGGAAAAACAAAACAAAATCCTTTACTTTCTTGTGATGCTTCCACCAAACACGTTCATCAAATCAATGG